CCCCCAAAAAAAAAAAGAAAAAAAAAGAGAGAGGAATGTTCCAAGTGAGGACTTGAGCCCAAACTTGAAGACTGAAGGGGTTGTGTGTGTGTGGGGAGAGGGGGGGGGGGGCTTGGGTTAAACCAACAAAGCTGAGGAGGGAAGTGAAGCCCACGGGCATCGCGGGCCGGGCCGCAGACAGTCCTGGAGTTCAGCTCAGACATGCAATCATTAGCATGCGACGCCTGTGCTTCCAGCTCTCCGATGGCAGAAAAAAAAAAAAGAAACAGACAAAAGACTAAATAATTACTGGCAGCAGGATTCAAGCATTCCGCCGAACATATCCGATCTTATCAGGGAGGTAGTCATGATTAATCAATCACTTATTAGTAGTTGATTTAATTGTGAACAGACAAAGATTTTAATAGCGTATTCTAATTACACATGATGGGCGAACTAGCTTTGATCATTGTGTTTGGACCGAATTTAACCATTATCGCTACCGGAAAAATAAAACTGAGGTAATTACCACGTATGCGGTGCTGGGCTTTTTTTGCAGGAGACTATTAAAGGGAAGGTTTTTCCCTGGAGTGAGTGCCCAGCGCAGGCTAATTTATGTGTTTAACAGCCTATGTAGTGCCAGGGAATTGTACTTTGGGAGGGGCAGGGACGGGTCAGCAAACAAGTTGCTTTAAAAAGAAAGAAAAAATAAATCTGTGAAGTTGTCCGTGACACGTGCTGCTGGTTCTAGGGCACTCCAGACAGGAAACGTCTCCCGTACTGTTCGTCTCCGGTTCAGCGCTCCTCCCTAACTGGACATACTTTCCCAAAATATCAGCATGCGGACAGAAATAGAACATCATTAAACAGGTTCACCCGAGTCACCCGGAGGCAGACATGAAATTCAGGCCAAGGAGTTAGCAGGGGTGATATAGAGCAAGGCAAGACAATACATGGATAGAATTGAGAGAGCTCCCATTATAAAGACATCGGCACAGCTGCTATTACAAAGTAAACTCCACCAGCACTATTAAGCAACTGTACTGAGCGAATTTAACTGCATCTTTTATGCATTTATCCTGTACACAAAGGGGACTGAACCCCTCCTTGGTCGTGAAACCATGAAGACTTTTGGGGTCACCTGTTTTGTGGCTGTTTTTTTAGTTTTTTTGTTTGTAAAAACACAATAATGGCACATCAAAAAAAAGAGCTTCCCAAGTTAAACTCTTGGTACAAAGAATAGCACACTTCTTCTCCCCGAGTAGACCTTGAAATGGCAGATAGTGATGGAGTTGTCCAACGTGGATTGGGATGCACCCCGTCAACACACCCTCCGCTATATGAAACATGTCAGAAGTCAGAACAGAAAATGTGGATCTCTGTGCGGTTGGGCTCCCGATCGTTCCCTCCTTCCTGTGATTCCGTAAAACAATTAGGTTTAAGAAACAACCTCAGTAACATAATTGGTGTTGGATGGTAGAATAGTGGAGGGAGCAGATAGAAAAATATTTATCATTGAAACAACAGGAGCATTACAGTACAGAACCTCTTCACCGAGTCATCTTGGTAACAGATTCCCACCGGGAAGTGAATAAGGCTCCTCCTCTGTTCACAAGCAAGTTTTGTGTTTCAGAAGAAGTGAAGTTCATACTTTTTTGTTTTTTTCCTTCATCTTTAAAGATTCACTATTTACACGATAAATAAGTTCTATTCGATTTTGTCCTTTGATTAGTCTCATAGAATTTCTTGACATCATCTTTGAACACCTCAAAAAAAACTGTCTTTTATGTTCTGAGACAAAAAGACAAAAGAAAAAAAAACAAAAAACTATTTTTTTTTCCTCTTATCTTGAGGATACGCCCGCTGTTGGGCGAGAAATTTTGGCCCCTCGCAATATCATATGTGGATCAACCGGTTGCGCCGCACCAAGCACAGTTTTCACAGCTCCCGAGAGTACGGCCGCTGACATGTAAGAAACGACCCGGTGCACTGCTTGGATAAAGCCGGAGATGACATTTGGACAGGCCATCACAGCCGCGTCTCATGTCCTCATTAGCTCCACAAGTCAATGGGTAGCAGTGCTCGACACGGTGGACGACGGGTTACCAAGTGCAATAAAGTCCAGCACTGCAGGCGAACTTTCTGAAAAAAAATAAAATGATGATGTCAGGCAATATTCCCAGTGCAGTCCATGGGTTCATACGCAGGTTAAAGAGAAGTCAACGTGCCGGTACAACATGCCCCCAACTAGGCACTGTTGTTCTCTGCTGTGGAGGGAGGGGGGGTGGGGCGGGAGCACATGGCCAGAGCCTTGCCAACCCAGCAAGATGGTGCTCTCTGAATTGTCCAGTGTGATAAAAGTCAGACATTGACTCGACGATGTTTCAAATGACCGTTTGGGGCAGTGAGAGTGGTTCGACCTTCAGTAAAGTGGACCTTTTTTGTAAGAATATGTACAATACTTTGCATTCACATGTACTTATTTTGCCACCATGAATTCCCCATGATGACCTCTTTAAAGCATAGTGAAGTCAATCAGCTGGGATGTAATCATATACAAAAACCTGCCATTCTTCTGCGAGAAGGGAGTTTTATGGAAATTTTATGGAACACGCCCATAACATCTCCTCTAAAATGTTTGCGTGGTGTGTTGCTGTTTTGTAGTGTCACCAGTTAAAATTGATGTTGGGAGGACCAGGCAATCATCATGATAAATATACATGTATATTTAAAATTTGAGTTCCATTACCTCACTCGTATTTATCGTACTGTTACTCTGCTTATCTGTTGAGACGAGCCCAGTCCGTCTGAAACCAACGGGGGGGTTTTGGTTGTAAATGTGAATGTGAGTTGGCAGAAGCTATTGTAGTAGATCAACTGGCATTTTAAGAATGCCCCCAGCTAAAGTAGCTAATGTGCATTAAAAAAAAATGAAAAAAAACATAGAAGTAAACTCTTTGGTTTGACATGCACATTAATGGAATTCAGCATGAAGTCCCACATCTAACGAAGCAAAAGAAAGTAAGACAAAAGGATCGAGAAATTCTATGAAATTGTCTCGGGAGAACGTGTCATCTTTATGAAACACTGACTCGATATTTTAATTATAATCACAGTAAGAAGCCCCTTCACATGATGTCCAGCTCCACCTCTCTGTTTTACTTTACTGCCTTCACATGATCGAGACCTCGTGTTTATTGCACTTCCCCTTTCACTCCTGTCTCAGTGCACGTGGACTGCTGTGAACAGGTGCCCCATGATGGGATATGGCAAAATATGGCAAAGACCGGATGTGGAAACAAGGTAATGCGTTTTGTTTCTGTCATAATGCTGTATTACCTCCCGTGATTCAGTAGATTTATATGAGGTGCTTTGGAAAAAGAAATAAAAATCATCTGCAAGGATGTCTCACCCTCTACTGTATATTAGTGAGACTGTGTGTTTCAGATGCCAAATCCCTCCAGGCAGAATTATAAAAATGTTTTGTCCTCTAGTTCACATACTCTTGTTCTGAAAACAAGGCCCCACTGAATAACCAGCTCGCCTGCCCCTTCGTTACAAAGTCACGTTGATTCAGAGGCCCTTGGCCCACTTCCATGAACTGAGCTCGGCCCGCTAGCGTCCGAATTTGAGCGTGCCGGTGCGCTCGGCGGGGAGGAAAGGACCGCCACTGGGACCTTCCGTCGGTGGTCTGAGGGGCGGCGGAGGAGAGCGAGGCCCTGGCACGGGGGCACCTATGCTGGCAGCGGAGGGCACGGCCGGCAGCGCCACTGTCTGTATGGTGCCCCTATCACACGGCCCCAGGCCCTCCAGGCCCTGTGGGGGTCCCTCATAGCCCATGTTGAGCCGCAGGGGTTGATGGGCCTGGCAGTAGTCCACAATAGGCTGCTCGTAGCGGTAGAAGGTCAACGCACCCAACTGGTGGGGGACCTGTTTTAGACAGACAGACAGAGAGCAGAGAGGGCAAAGACAGAGGGAGGATGCGATGGAAAGGATGACATCAGGATAGTGGGCACATGGGTAGGATTGTACAAGAGTGAAGGAGACAAGGAAACAAAAGGGGACAGGGAGAAAAAAAATATGTTAGCCAAAAAAGTGATGTTCATAGTAAAACCAAATAATACTTTTGTTGTGTAGAGAGTTTATGTAATCAGATTTTATTCCAATTTCTGCATAGTTTTTTTTCTTTTATATAAAAAATTCACTTTTGTAATAATGAAAAAGGTGAATTGCAACACCAGAAACAATGTCCTATCATATTTTAAAAAATATATGAGAAACAGTCCCCCCACCCCCCAAAAAAAAAAAAAAGTTGTACTGCAGCTACAACAGCCAGGGCAGTTTTTCTTTTCAAATAAATATTGCACACTTTCAAATAATGTTTCTTTTTTTTTTCTCAATGCAGTTAATTTGTCACACAACATTTCATTGTGCCTGTGTGACTCCAAGCCTACAGCACAGTTAGTTTGGCAGTTAACTGCTGGCCCTCTGTAATCATCCTCACATGGTGACCACCTGAGCCTGCAGCTTGCCGAAAACCCATTTGCTTCAAAGTCCCTCCAAAAATGTAGGCTGCGAAGCATCTGCGACAACTGCTTTTTTTTTTTTTTTAACAGAATTGCGAAGCATTTCACTCCTACACTTCCTGTACTGCACGCTGACTGAATAAGAAGATGAGCATTTGCATATGTATGAATGACACACAGACCGCGCTGCATTACGACCACGACCTCTTTTGGGTTGAACCGTTTGTACAAGAGCTGGAGCGAATAAGCCTGCAGCTCTCTCTCTCAGGTGCCAGGTCACTTGTGTCTCTGCCAGGAGCACTCGTCACATCTGGCTATGTGTCTGGTCGCGTGTTCCGTCCCCAAAACCTTAACACCGTGCCAAACAAAACAGATGAGACTCTCGTGACACTCTGTCTGCCCAACTAAATCGCAAACTTATTCGCTTGAAAAATGTAAAAAGGAGGCCAATTAAAAGATTTCTAACAGGCTGTGGTAACAGCAGGGTAAGATGGCAGCTGACCTGGATTAAACGCTGCAGCCTGGCAGAGCGACAGATCATCAGGTCTGCACACGCAGGCGACAAGAAACGCACGACAACAGTGGGAGCTGCAGATTTGACACCAACAAGGAAGACATGAATAATATAACTCCTGACACTTGAGGAGGCGTTGGAGGCAGAGCAAGTGCCACAACTGCACCGTCTCCCTTGCACATCTTTGAGGTTTCCTTTTAAACCTTAACCATTGATGGCAACTAGATTTTGAGGAAAAAATTTAATGAAATAATATCTATGTATGTATATATATTCACAAGTGATATTACCTATAAATCAGGTCGCCCTATTTACAAAAAGGCAAAAATGACTCTACTTCTTACTTGATTTATTACCTCAGTAAACATTGTAAACATGAGTTTATGGTCTTAATCTCTAGTTTCAAGTCTTCTTCAACACAGCATGATGTTCATTTAGTTAAGTATTGTCCATTTAGAGTCAAATAGACCATAAAGCAGGGCATGCTAATGGGCGTGTCCACCTTGTGATTGACAGGTCGCTACCAGTTAAATTACAGCGTTGTGATCGCCTAAAATGTCTCGTTCAGAGTTTGGTTTTACTGACCCTTCTCCTGTCATTTCTGGCTTGCCAAAACCAAGATGGCGATGGCCAAAAAACAAGATGGCAACAGGCAAAAATGCCAAACTCCAGGCTTCAAATCGTTATTCCACAAACCGACAGGTGACGTGACGGTGACCACGTCCACTTATACAGTCTAGGGCTGTCACTGAATTTCACTAGTACTTTTCCAAATCATTGAAAAATTACATTCAAAGAGCTCTCAAGCAACAGATCCTCTGGTTTGCCTGGTTAATAGACACACATTGGTTTGAACAGTTTTCATTGAAGAATAGTTATTCTAGATGCTCTGATCTCAAAACCGTGAAACTACTTAAGTCAAAACTAGCTGCCATGTAGCAAATAAGAAAATATCATTTTTAATTTGCTGAACTGATACTCTCATAGTGATCCCGAAGGAACTACAAATTATGTCCCAGAGGAACAAAGTCAAAAAAAGAGAATCACTGCTACGTGCGACCCAGAAAACGTGTCACCAATATCCTTGTACATTTATTATACTTATCATACAATGGCATTCGGAGTGGAGCAATCCTATTTCAGGGAACTTGAGAGAATTTATGCCAGGATTTGTGAAAAGCGGGCCGACTGTGTCAATGAAATGCAGATATATGCTGGCTGAGAAGGGGGAATAGTGTGTGTTTGTGTGTGTCTAAGAGAGCACAGATTTCAAAGTCAAATGGAAACAGTCTGGGCTAACGCAGCTCGGCGGTTCAGGAATTACCCTGAACCGCGGGGCTGAGATAAAGCCACTCTGAACACATTAACACCAGTTCTGTTTTAGATTTAAAAAAAAGTGTTATTTGTTGCCTCAAGCTTTTACTGCAACATGCTTCAATGATGCAGTGCTGCATTACAATTCAGCAAAGTTGTAGTGGTGTATTCTCCGATAAAACAGCTGCTGAGAGCCTGCTCGTCTGGTCCGGAGATAATGTATGAAACCGGAGTTAAATTTCCAGCTTTAAATCCTCCAACCCAGCCTTTTCTTTCAGCTCCAACTACGCACCTCCAGAGCCACCGCCGTTCATACCTCGTTCCCCCCCAAATGGACTCCCATTAAACGCGGCTGACTCATTACATTACAGGCACTCAGTGGATTACTCCCCTCATTCACCTTTCAGTTTAAACCCTTCACCAACCCTGACGCCACCACCACCACCACAGCTCTGCTCACAGGTCCAACGGATTAATTAACCCATATTAAGTACTGACCGTTTCAGTGGATTCTGTCGATGCACAAATCTGGCCCATCGTGCAGAGAGTGATTTAAGTGTGTTGTTGCGTATTTGTACGTGGACGCCTGCGGAAGTTAGAAGGGGCTGAGCGTGACAGAAACAGAGAAAAAAACGCTAAAGATACAGTAAGAGTTGTATGCACCAGTTTGACATTTCAACATTCAGTGCAGCTCAAAAAAGAACATGCAACGTCGATATCAGACAACCTGACTTGGCTTGTCGGACGAAGTCAGTGATGCAAAACGCTCATTAATGGCAGTTTCCGAGAAAAAAAAGATGCTATTGATATTCACCAGCCATCCATGTAGTTATGAGGAACCGCTAGCTCATTAGGAATGCCATCGGCCTCTCTTTGTGCCTCTCAGCATTAGGAAATTATTAATTCCTCACACTGGATAGTCTGTTTACTGCGGAGACTGCCAAATATGGGAACGGATAACATCTGGCCAGACTAACAAATATACAGCATAGACAATTCAATTTATTTTCCAAGGTGTTTGTGGGAATGGATGATGTTGGGGGCTTATCTAAAAGGTATACACTGTTGAGAAGTTTTGTTCTCAACAGATGTTCTTTTTTTCACAAAGTGAAATAAATCACAGGGCCAATCGTTCTCTGTGTGATCCGTCCATTACTATTCACTGAGATATGAATCTTCGCTCTTCTGACCCTTTATCCACCAATGGCATCCTCTTCCTGCCAGATAAATGTTAAGTGCCTATGAAAAAAAGGTCTTTCTAAATTGTAATATTTCATCTATCAATAATTTGATTTCTGGTCTCTGCTTCTAAAAGTAAACTGGAAAACATGTTGGCTGTGTACATTTATGCTTAATCGCATTCAGAGGGTGGTTTCTGCATAAATTCGAGGAGAGAAGGATGGTGTAATAGCTCATATTATTCTGTTTTCAGCATCCTTGCAGCCTATAACTGCGAATCAGAACTGAATCGAGCACTTCAACGATCAGCACACAGGCGTGTCTTTGTTCGGACACTTTATATTCCTCTATTTTTGTACCGGTGAGCCCCTGTGAGTGCAACTTGAGACCCTCCGGCAGGAACCTCCTGGCAGTCACAAGGTCTAGACGCTCCTTCCATCCGAGCATAAAGACCCAATGACGCAGGCTGGCTCCCTCACAAAATCTGTGGCTTTCAGGCTTGTTTAACACTGAGCACATCATTTACATATTCAGCTCTGAATGGGCGCCCGTCTCTGTTGCCACTGTGTGGGAAAAAAAGTAGGTCTGACATAGCATTTACTGATGCTTGACAAATTGGTTCATCTTCAACCGGGTTGTTATGTCTTTAGGGAATGATTGCTTTATATGGTGTCTTTACTTTGCAATATCCGACATCACTTAAAGTCCTGTGTTGGTCACGGGGGAAGAGCTGTGCAAGGTGGAGTACAGAGTATAGTGCAGTGGAAACGGGTAGCATATGGTCACGTCACTATGCAGCAGGTAGCACAGAGATGTTTTTTAATTATGTATTTCAGTTTAAAAAGGTCAGTGTGCAGGATTTGGTGGCGGATTGCAACTAATTGGAGCCTCTCATGTATGCAAAGTGTGTACGAGAACTACGATGGCTATTGAAAATAACACCCTAATGGCCCTATCTAGAGCCAGTGTTTGGTTTGTCCATTCTGGGCTACTGTGAAAACATTGCGAGGCAAGTTTTTGAGTCACGGTTCGGATAAGCAAAGAGAAGGGGACGAGATGAATATAACTTTGCTTTCCATTTATTAATTAAAGAACTTCAAGCTATAGTCTTACATAAAAACAAAAATATTGAAGATGTCCAATTTGAAACAAAATTAAATGAATAAATAAACATAAAACATTCAAGAATACTCAATTCTGTTACGTTTAAGAGCAACATGAGGTATGTTGATACCCTCGTCCTTTGATCAATATTGAAAGAAAAAAAACAGCCAGTGAGCTAGCTTACAGTACACTGTTTCAACTGAACTGAACTACTCTGCAACAACTTGGGTTATGTCATTAACATACACTGCATTTAACTTGGAATGTTTACTATTACTGTGAAATGGTCTACA